TTCCTCCTTGAGTATCATTGGCTCTTGTTCATATGATACCTCTTGAAATGGTTGAACATTAACCATTTCCTTTTGTTACAATGACTCTTGTGTATTCCTTCCATCTTTTCTTGATGCCCTCTGCATCATTCAATAATTTGCCCAGAGACTCTTTCAATATATATATATAATTTAATTACTTCTCCATGTTCTAGATTGTCAATTATAGTACCATTGCAGGCAAATTTCTTCTTAAACACCTTCACTAGTTTCATCATAATCATCAGCGATCCCTTGGGCAATAATCAGGGTTATCCTGCAGTTTCTTTTCTGAATTCTTACATGGATATAATCTTGACTCCCAGCAGAAAACAAGTCATCACTCTTACTTGCACCTGCGGTGGGCTTGAAAGAATATAGGTTCTGGCTAGCCATACAATTCCTTTTCCTCAGTGAAAATGGCCTGCAGAAGGCACAGAGGGAGGAGACAGATGCAGGGAATTGAGTGTCAAGAAGCAAGGGAAGTTAAGGAGATGGCTGCTGAGTCCTCTGAGGTGGCTCAGTGACTAGAGCAGCACTATTTATTAAAGACAGTCTTCTTTACCCATTACATGGACTTGAAACCCTTTTCAAAAATCAGTTGACCATGGGTGTGTAAAACTTAACTATTTTTAAGTGAACAATGTAGTGATATTTCATGTATTCACAATGTTGTTCACCACCCACAGCCTACTACTGTTTCCATTGATTGCTTTCCTTTTTGCTCTCCTTTTAAAAAGTTACTCTCCTTTTTTGCAGATTTTTGTCTTTAAAAATATTGACTAAAGTTTAATGAGAGGAATCGTGGCCAGGTCGAATTTTATGGAAGAAATGGAATTAGCTCATAGCTTATTGCTGAATGAAGAAGCTTGCAGTCAACTAGGTGAAGTTCAGAAGGCAGAGTTTATTTTTGAGTGGTTGAGATATTTGGAGAAGCTATTACTAACAACAAGCAGGGTAAGTAAAATTATTTTTAAAATGTTTTTCATTAAGTGCTGGTTAATATTAAATTCCTTTGGTTTGCTTTTCTATTTCTCTTCACTAAACCTAAATTAGCTTTAAAATGCAAGACTTAGTTAAGACTATACTGCTGTGGTGCTGTGGGTTAATGCACCAGACTGCAAAGCTGTTTGAACTGCAAGGTTGGCAGTTCAAGCTGACCAGCTGCTCCTCGGAAGCCCTACACAGGATCACTATGGGTCGGGATCAACTTGATGGCACTTAACAACAACAACGATACTATATTAGTTTAAAAGGTGACAAAGTAATTAGCCAATATTTTTGTACTTAAGAAGAAAAACTGTTGCCATTAAGTCCATCTGACTCATAGTGATCATGTAGAATTGCCCCAGTCAGTTTCCAACACTCATCTTTACGAAAACAGATGGTACATCTTTCTCCCATAGAGGAGCTGGTGGGTTTGAACTCCTGACCTTTTAATTAGCAAGCAAGTGCGTTATCACTGTGCTTCTATAGTGCCTTAACTTTTGATATTTAAGAAAAATGCTAACTATAAACAACATTGTATCAAATTGCATTTTAGTTATCTTCTGTACATTGTATTCTTCCATATGCCTGAAGCCCTCGTGTTGTACATATAGTGCTAAATAATGCAAAGGTAGTTGAGTTATACTTTTAAAAAGATGTGAATATAGATTCCAGCCTGACTAATTCGACACTATAGCGAGCGGACAGCCACTTCTCCATCTTTGGAGCAAGCGTGCCTGAGGGAGCCAGCATTCACCGAAGACCCACCTGAAAGAGGGATGTCATCTGCATCTCCATTGAGG